AACTTTTTGATACTTTTGTCTATTTTCAACCATCGACCTTTCTCGCATCTATAAACAGGAATGAACCAATAAGCATCAAAATATATTGTGAAGAAGGAGCTACAAATCCAGAAATGACAAGAATATATAACCATATTATACAGATATTTTCACCTGACTAAGAAGATCAAGTTGCAGAGATGGAGGCAAAGCAGCTAAAACAGTGGGATCAACATTCCCATGCATTGCAGGCTAAAATTAAATGAAATTAAAAGATCAATAAAGAAATATACAAAAATGGTTATCATGAAAGGACTGAATTAATAAGATCAGGTAACCACAGCAAGAGACTTGAGTTAGCAAAGAAGGCAACAAAACATTTGACCACAATACTGTCATCATTCTTTTCCAGAAGGAAAAACTTACAAGTATCATCTCTTCATCTTCATCACCATCCTCCTCGGAAGCGATAGCTGCAACTGATGCTAATGAGTTATTAGCTAAATTGTTATCTTCCTGTGCTGCGATAGACGCTGCCAACCTAAATTGACTCATTAAAACAATCAAAACAAAACAGTCAAACTGAACAGTTTGTCTAAATTCAACTAAAAACGTTGATTACATTTCATCCAGCTTTTCCTGATTGCAACTAATTGAAGCCGCAGTGTCGTGTTCTATGCTACTCCTCTCCATGTTAGATTGATTCGGGTTATTTAATAGAATATTCTTACCCTTAGCATCAGTCTGCAATTTAATCAAACACTACAAGTAACCAATATCAACCATCAAATAATAATATTTTTTTGATAAGAATAGGAGGCCTCATTAAAAACCTCCCTCATAGTTGCCTCTTGAACAGAGGCAGCTGACTAAGGAGGAAAAGAGTGCCCCATTATATTAATAACCCAAACTAACATAAGATTACATAAACCAAAACACCACCAGAAAAAAACTCCAAAGTAAAAGACTACTAAAACCTATCAACCAATCCCCTCCTTGGCTAATTTGTCAGCCTCCCAATTACAAGACCTAGGAATCTGCCTAACCAAAATATCTCTAACAGAAACTAAAGCACCAATCTCCCCAACTAGAGACGAATAAAAACCATCAAATAATAATATGGAAAGCTAATTCGGTTTTGGCAAGACCTTTGGGCGATGGACTCTCCGCTCAAGGTTATCTTCCCTAGACTGTTTTCCATTTCTTCAAACAAGAGTGGCAAATTAATTGAGTTCGGTGAGTTTCGTTCAATGGGCTGGTTTTGGAATGTACAGTTGAGGAGAAATTTGACTGATTGGGAATTTGAACAATGGACAAATTTGATGTCAATCATCTCTAAATACAGCCTGTCTAAAGGGTCCAACGATGGTCTGATCTGGAAAGGTAATGCGACTGGTGTATACTCTGTTAGTTCATGTGTTAAGGTTTGTTCCTCTAGTTCAGAGGAGGTTCATTTTTGGAAGAACATCATGTGGAGAGGATTGGTGCCTCCAAGAGTGGAGTCTTTTATGTGGCAGGTGGTTTTTCAAAAGCTGGCAGTGAAGACAGAATTGGTTAAGAGAGGGGTTTTGGGAATTGAGGATGTTTTATGCCCACTTTGTAAGTTGGCGGAGGAATCTTCCTCTCATTTATTCTTTTCATGTTCTGTTGTGTGGTCACTATGGAACAAATTCTTGAAGCTTTCGAGTCTTAGTTCGGTTTTTCATGAAAATGCTCATATCTTTCTTTTAGCTTGGGAAGAATTGAAATCTAATTATGTTATTTGGACCTTTATTCCAGGCGTCGTTCTTTGGACTATTTGGAAATTCAGGAATGACATTGTGTTCGATGGAGGGAAGTTAGACCAGACTGACATATTTTTCTTAGCAAGATTTAGGCTTGCTTCTTGGTTCTTAGCCAAGTTCAAAGAGATTTCTATTCCTAAGGGCTCTCTAATTAGTGACCCTTCCCTAGGGGATTTTTGTTCATCCTTCAACAAATCGATTGTCACTAGTCTCCCTTGGTCCCCTCCTCCTAAGGGCTTCATTAAAATGAATGTGGATGCAACAACCAGCGGTGACTGGAAGAGAAGTGGATTAGTTGGTATTTTAAGAGATGATGCATGTTCGATTTTAGGTTCTTTCCAGGAGGCTTCTGACCCGGGTCCTCCTACTTTGATGGAGCTAAAGGCTGTCCAAAAGGGTTTATCTTTCTTTGATTCTTTTCGAGGGAGTATTAAGGGTCGGTTGATAATTGAAACTGATTGTAAAGTGGCAGTGGATTGGGTTAAGAATGTTGAAAAATGTCCAGATGTGTATGTAATAATTGTCAAGGAAATTGCTGATAGGCTTAAAGACTCGGAGGGTGTAATTAGATGGGTTGCTAGGACAGCTAATATAGAGGCAGATAGCTTAGCTAAGGCTGGAATAGGCTAAGTACAGTGTTGTTGTTAGGGGTATTTATTTTTGGGTTTTCGGTTTTTTTGTAAGGGGGTTATTCTAGATGTTTTAAATTTTTTGTATCCTTTACATTATTAATGAAGTCTAAGGCACTCTTTTCCTCCTTCCGCTGATTAAGGAGCTCCTCTACGAGTTCCATTAATCATGAAGGGGGTTCTTAATGAGGCCTTCAATTCTTATAAAAAAACATAAGACAGAAACAGCAAAATCTCACAACCAGCCTAAATATGGGTCCTCACCTGCTTAAGAAGTTGGCGTTGCATTGATTGTGGCAAGGCAGCAAAAACATCAGGATCAATATTTCCATCAATATCATGCTACAAACCAATCAAGTACAATAGCCATCATAAACTACAAAAGTTGCAAATATTAAAAGAAATGAGCAGTAAAAACACTTTATTTGATAACCAGAATATAGTGTACTTCTCCAACAAGAACTTGAGTGATACTTCCATTAAAGTGGTTCAATCTAGCAGAAAACGTGAAATGCAAATACTTCCATAAGGATAGAAAATACAAGTATATAGTTATTAAGCTCTAACCAGTATTATCACTTCATCTTCATCTTCATTGTCATCGTGACCCCCATCCTTTGCAGTACTAGGCACTTCTAATCTAGATACAAAAATAAAAATGCAAAAAAAAAAAACCCCATTTAAGAACAAACATGGTAAAAGAATATCCTTAAAACAAAAGGAAACTATTCAATTGACGGCTTACTTTTCCTTCAGCTTTACATCATATTCTTTTGTCAATTCCACATTGGCATTATATCCCACAATGTTAGTGTCAGAGCAGTTATCCGAAGAAACCATCTTACCCTTATTACTATTCATTTGCATTTTCCTCTGGTTCTCGAGATCCTTTGCCAACTCTTTCAATCTCATTTGCTTTAGCTATTAATCAATAAAACATAGAAAAATAAACCAAAAAAGAATAAAGTTTGATACAAACAGGGGAAAATCATTATCTCCACCACACATTACAAATTATATAATAACAAGGCAACATGTAGAAAATAAATTAACAAGAGAAATTTTCAATTTTCATTCAATTCAGTTGTTACAAGTTTTAACCCTTTTTCTAATCTTAAAAAAACCCTATTACAAATACTACATTTTTAAGAAATTAAAAAACAAAATTTATTTGAATCATATGGAATTTATTCTTTTTTAATTAAATACTACTGTTTCACATTTATTTGACAAGTAGTAAAAGACTAATAGTAAATAACAAAATTTAGCTTAAAAAATCAGCATTCCATAATAGAAAGTTAGAAAAATGAAAATAAAAAGGGAAAAAATGTTACTTGATTGAGGAGCAATTTTTCAGCGGTTTTTCGGATCTTAGCCTGGGCATTTTCTCGCTGTCGACGGCGAGAAATGACAGTGCGACGCTTGAGAACCGGTGTGGCACCGTCGAAGACGAAAACAGGCTTAGTTTTTAGATATAAAAGCTTGCAAATTCTCCTGAAAAACCCTAACAAATGCGCGTTCCGAACCATTTCTCCCTTCTCATCTCGCATCGCCTTCATGAATTGAACCATCCAAATACTTGCATCTTCAGAAAAAAAAAAACAAAATAGTAAATAATTTATTAAAACAATGTACAATTGCAAGTTTTAGGGATTTCGAGTTTACCGATGGCGAGTTTCTTTCCGGCTAGGGTTTCGACGGACACGCGGCGGCCGACGGGAGCCAGTAGTTCCCAGAGACCGTGAACTCCCATTTTGGCTTGATCAGTAAGATTTTTCAAATATTTTGTTTTTTGTTTATCGATTTATGGAACTTTACCATAAAGTTCGTTTCCATTGCCGCCAAAGTGGCTGAACGGATTAAACGACGTCGGGCGACTTACGTACATTTCTTACATTGATATTATTAGATAAATATAATTTATGATATTATTTTATTTTATTTTTTATTAATTTGAGATAAGTAAAAAATAGTATATGGTAAGATTCAAACTTGACCTTACAAGTTTAAATTCTTGAATCTCAACCATTTATACCAACACTAGTTGACGATATTTAATATCTTTTAAACTATATGTATTCATATTTAAAATTTTAATATATATTTTTTAAATTTGTAACACATAACATTCTTTTAATTAAATAATATTAAAACTATAAATATAAATTAATCAAAATAAAATATATTCGTAATTAAAAATTAGTAGGTATCTAATTACATCGAACAAAAAAATATATATCTATGGTTAGACACATAACCATTAAAAAGCTAAATACCTAATTGTATAAAAAAGTATCATATTGCACATAAATGTTAAAATTATATGCCAAAATTTATATTTACTCATTTTTTAATCTTACTTATCTATTAAATTAATTTTAGAATTCATGTTAAAAATAATATGATCTTTAAATTTTAAAATTAATTTCTTTCATAATAGTATAAAGTGACTTACCAGTATACTCAACATTGCTATGGTTACTTTTATCTTATTAATAGTTTTCTTAACTTGAAATTTTAATAAATTAAATAAATTTTCCTTTTAATTTCTATTTAAGAATATAAGATTTAATTATTTTTCACTTAATATACAATAAAATAATTATTTCTATAAGAAAAGTTTGACTTTAGAAACAACAATAATCTCTGCTTCCACCATCAAAGTATCATTAACGAGGTAGCCTTTTGATCTATCTTGCAGATCACTCAGTGCCATGACGGATTGAAAACCATATCCATAAGCTGAAGCAGTAAACCAATTTGCACCTTTAAACAACAGGAAAAGCTTTTCTTAAAAAGATAATATACATTTACTGCTATTAGTTATGATAATTATGTTTTTGTAAGAAATCATTAAATGGTCTTAATGATTAAAGACATTTTTTTAGAAATCCTTGATTTAAACAGCTACGTCAACGGATATGTACATTAACAATAGTTGAAAAAGACTATGAATAAATTATCACTCTAAACTATTAAGACAAATGTTTTGTATGGGTGTTAAAATTAGGGCAAATTACCTATAAATTCCCTGGTGTTAGCGGCATTGTAACGGTCTTTGACCCTAAACTTGTATTTTGCATACACTTTTCCTTGAGATGGAAGCTTGTAACCCTCAATCAACCACAAAAACACAGAAAGTGATATATTCTTCCACGTTCCATTTCCTCTAGGGTAAACTCTCAATTCCCTGCGTTTTTTAGCCATACAAAACCAATAACAAAATGTTATTTTATATAACCACTCTTTAAAAAAATATAACCAATAAATCTGATATTCGATTCTTAACAGCAATCATAAAGATATTAACGTTTGTAAACTAGTCGAACTCGATTTTCCGAGCTTAACTTGGTAAATAGGTGAGTACGTGCTTACCATTTTGAGTCCCCAATAGTTTGAACATTAGAGGTATAGTACTCAGAGAATGATTTAGAGTAGTTATGGAGTTGGAAAGTAATTGTATTGTTGGGAGGGTTCTTCACCATTGAAACACGTTCCAACCTTCCTGTCTGTTTAATTACAAATATTTCGACCCCAAATGTGCAACAATCGTCTACCAAGTACCCATTTGAAGCTTCCTTGAAGTGATCCAAACACACCAATTGCGCAATGCCCCATTCCGTTTTCATCCGGTAGTATCGCTTGATCACCCCATCAGTTTCTGCCCAACATCAAAAATTAATTAAGTATAATATTATGCAAATAAAGGATACTGCTTTGATGGTTAAGTATTTGTCATGTATTCGATTAGATACGATGAATATCAATTCTAGAATTTATAAAAATTGATTGATTGATTTTTATTTTAGGTCTGTTTTGATTTTGAATTAGTATCTGTTTAACTAATAAAAATAAATAAATTCTATACTTGTACATAAAAGAATACACCTTCGATAGTCAAGTATTTATCACGAATTTGATCATGTATGAAAAACCTAAAGTTAACATTTACTTCCCAAGTAGGAGGAAAATTTTCAGTCCCATCAATTTGTAAGTAAAGGGAGATGAAGCCCTCGCCATTGCTATTCTTGTTGCCATTTGGGTACAGTGACAGCCTCCTGTAAATGCCATAGGAAATAGCTAAGGAAATGAAAAAATATGTTTGCCCAATCTTCCTTAATTCAATTTTTTTTAATTAAACTAGGGTAAGTACAAGACTTTTGTGATCTATGATATAAAAATGTTTATATATAAGGAGATGGATATAAAATCTTATACAATATCTGATTTTACATTAAAAAATCGGACGTAAAACATTTGTAAAAAAAGTTACCATTTATAATTGTCGACGCCAAATGCATGGGATTCATATTTGTTGATCCCTGTGTCAACTAACAAAGAGAATGAGTCTATGCTGAATATATAGTGAGCTGGTGGAAGATCTCTTGTAACTCTTATGATCTCTACAAAACATCATCAACAACATGAGTCAGGGTTCCTATCTTGTATTAATTTCTTCGTTGTCTTTAACTAATTTAAAATTATATGAAGAAAAACACACACAAAATTAAAACATACCGGGTTTTCTCAAAAACTCTTCCATGGGAAAGAATTTGATTGCCTTTTTTTTCTTCCTAATTTTTACTATATATAGAAGAATAAGATGAAAAGGGTATTTAAGGGCATGTTCATGAAATATTGTTTCATTTTTACAAAGAAACCTAGGCATCGCGTTGGATGCTTGACTCGTAAAACTTCATCTAAAGTACCTCTTTGAGAGCATATTCCTGTCTTGTAAACACAAATGACCTAAAGATATGTCAATAAACAATTAATCCTTTTGCTTGACTTCATTGCATTATAAGAAGAACAAATAGAAACTTTTTTACTTCAATCAATATAATCTTTTCTTAAAAGATAAGGCAAAATAATATAGATTCATTTTTTAATTATAATATTTATGTTATATCTTCTCCGGATCGCTTCTGCACGTGATATATTTGTTGTCAATCTTCTATCTATTAATGTTTACGGGGTCTCTAAAAGTCTTCATATCCACCGACTAGTTACAGTACTTTTATTTGACCGTTGTCAATTCCATCATCAAAAAACTTTGTTACATGATGTTCAGGTTTATTCACTTTATCGACCCACAAATAACAATTTATAAAAGAGATAAATTAGGTTATAAAAGGAAATTATAATTTCATAAATCAATTATATTAAATTCGAGTTGAATCATTAAAGACATACTTCGTATTTTCATATATTTTTATTAGAAAAATAAAAAATCCAATAAAATAAATGATAACATATGGTCCGTTGAAAAGAAAGCATTAGATGCAATATGCTTTTCTTTGGTTAAGGCATAAGAGAATGAAGTCTATTGTGATTGATACCAATCCCTGGGAAATTCCGACAAGGAAATGTCGTTTCCAGTTCAATTCCATCCTTATCATACTAATTTTTTTAAAACTTGAATCTTAATCAAAAGAAAAAGAAAGTTTAAAAAATCAAATATAAAGCTAAACTGATGAAGTCAACGCTCTGTATAAAAATATATATCATCTCATTTCGTGCATAAAAAATAATTATATTTTAATATATGATTTTATTTTTGTATATAATCATTCTATTAATCAATTGATTCAGATTGAATAGTACAAAAATATATTATCACCTCCCAACTCAATTTACTTCATTCAAACCATGAATATTTATGTATCATTGAAGAATATTCTTCATTGTAAAAAGCCATGACACATAAGGTTCGATCTTTCCTGTTGCTGCCGGCTTATATCTTTGAAAGCTAAACGGCTGATTCTATAACATTGATCCAATGCATAAAACTACAAATTCTTGTTGTATATTCAGCCAAATGGATCGTTATGCCATTTTATATTATTTCCGGCAATCATCAAAAGCCTCGAGATTTCCTCCATGTTCCACAATCTCAACCAATGAAAGTTCCAGTTTCGTTTTAAACTCTAACTTCAATACCAAACCTGTTTGAATCAAAGTTTCAAAGAGAATCATCCCAAAGAAGAAGATGGAAAAAATCCCAATCTGGGTTCTTTTTGTTTCATTGTTTCTCGTCATTCATGTGACAGATTCAGTGGATGATGCAGACAGGGATTCGTTGGTTACATTCTTTACAGGGTTGTCCAACAACAATGCGCAGTCCGACCCGAATATCGGTTGGAATTCGAGTTCGGATCCTTGCAGGAATAAGTGGAAGGGTGTAGTTTGTGACAATAAGACCAACAGTATGGTTAAGAAAATAGTGCTTGATAATTCAAGTTTATCAGGTTTTCTTAATGTCACTGCCATTTGTAACGTTGATTCCATTGCTGCATCACTTAATCTTCTTAACCTTAGCTTGAACAACATTGGTGGTGAAATCCAAGCTGATATTGTAAAGTGCAAACAGTTAACTCGTTTGTTCTTGGGAGGGAACCAGTTCACTGGAAAACTTCCCGATTCAATGGCAATGTTAGGTAACCTGATACAACTTGATATATCAAACAATAGATTTAGTGGTGAATTGCCAGGTTTGGCAAGGATTTCATGTCTCCAAATGTTTTTAGCTCAAAACAATCAGCTTACAGGGGAGATCCCAGAATTCGATTTCTCGAATCTTGATCAATTCAATGTCTCAAACAACAATTTCCAGGGTCCGATTCCTGATGTGAGTCAGAAATTCCCTGCAGACTGCTATCTCAACAACCCTGGATTGTGTGGAGAAATATTGCATAAGACATGTCCACCTTCAAAAAAGAAATCAAGGGGTGTTTCCAATAAGGATATCCTTATGTTCTCAGGTTATATTGCTTTGGGATTGATTATTGTTGGTTTGATTATTATCATGCTCACTAGGAAGAAAGTGGAAAGTGTTGAAGCTCCAGCTCCAAGTCCAAATAAGGTTGCATCAGTGGATGACTTTGTTGACACCAAACCTAGTTTTACATTGGCTGAGTTGAAAACAGATGTGAGTAAATCCGAGTTTTCGATCAATTCAACCGAGAGTACAATGGTCTCGTCTTCACTAGTGGTTCTGACCAGTCCTACAGTAAGTGATTTGAGGTTTGAGGACTTGCTTAGAGCTCCAGCTGAGATGCTTGGGAGGGGAAAACACGGTACCCTTTACAGAGTCATCTTCGAGAATGGGATGGTGTTGGCTGTGAAAAGGATTAAAGGTTGGATGATTCCGAACGATGAGTTTAAGCAGAGAATGCTGAGGCTAGATCAAGCGAAGCATCCGAACGTCTTGCCACCTCTTGCCTTCTATTGTTCGAAGCATGAGAAGCTTCTGGTTTATGAATATCAGCTGAATGGAAGTCTCTTCACTCTTCTCCATGGTAACCATACCTTCTCTTCATTCAAAATGTAATCAATATATTCATGTACGTATGCGTTTGAGAAACTAACTGAGCATGTATTTTAGGAAACCGATCGGGACGAAGATTCAAATGGGCCAGCAGACTCAGTGTTGCAGCCAAAATTGCAGAGGGATTGGCATTCATGCACCATGAACTTCATGGCGATGGAATCCCGCATGGTAACTTGAAATCCTCAAACATCATGCTGAAGAGCAACATGGAACCTTGCATAAGTGAATACGGACTCATGGCCATGGACCCTCAAGAACCCTCTTCAATGCAGCAACATACCAAGGACACTGCAGCTAGTGGTTTCAAAGCAGACATTTATGGCCTCGGTGTGATTCTGCTTGAGCTACTTACCGGAAAGTTGGTTCAGAACGACGGAGTCGATCTAACTTCATGGGTTCATTCCGTGGTTCGGGAAGAATGGACGGTCGAAGTTTTCGATAAGGCATTGATTTCTGAGGGTGCGAGTGAAGAAGAGATGCTGAATCTGCTGCATGTGGCTATCAAATGTGTCAACCAGGCTCCCGAGTCAAGGCCAGGCATTAACCAGGTTGCCACCATGATTAACGCGATTAAGGAGGAAGAAGATAAGTCTCCAGTTCATGAACCTTAAGCTGGGGACTGCTTTCCTCCATGGATCATGAGATGAAGATTCATTAAAATGATTATGAAGGAAATTACCAGTTCCTTATGTTTTCTTTAAGATATTTCATTTACAATTAGTTCAGATTTGAGTAAAATTAGGTTATGCAGATAAGATTTGTACTTCAAACTGAATAATTGACCAACAACTCCTGCTTTCACTCTCATCTACGTTGTATTAATTTGAATAATTTCATATTCTATGGAACTATTTTACTTGGTGTCTAATACGGGTACGTGTATAATATAAGTATGTTCACCTTTTTCCCTTTAATGTTTATATATGTATATCATACTTATTTACTTATATCCAATTATGTATTGGACACAAATATAGGATACGAGTATTTAAATGAAAACTTCAAAAATTCATCGAGTGACTTCAATAATAATATTAAAGGAGAGAGTTGCTCTCTCTAGAGGTTTCAGATTCGAACAGTTGCGTTCATAGTGTATGTTTTGTCAATAGACTAAAAAAATTATTTCAACAGATATTATATTCTAATTACTCGTATTGTGAGAAAATGTTTGAATGATTAAAAAAAAGGGAAGTGAGCAACCAATTGCACTAGAGGTAGTGCCCAACACTACAACTCGAACTAAATCATGTATTTGAGCACTTATTTTACAAGTGCTCTCACTTAGTCAACCAATGAATTATGGATACCCGAGACTGCAAAATTGATGATCAATTTCAGGAAGTCCACACGCATACAAACAATCTATCCCTCAATGGTTTTATCCAGAAAAGGTGAATAATGTTCTATAACTTTGGAATTTAAATTACTAAGTTTAGGGGTTTAAATGAAATACTTATGCTTGGTAAACTAGTTAATGAAATACATAAGCATTTAACTTAATGAAACTAATCTATTGGGCTAACTTGTCGATAAAATACAAGTTCTGAGTAATTAATTGCAAATTTTTTTTCTTTAAGGACTAACATGAAGAGTGTATATAATATGAGGATCAAATTAAATTCTAACCCTTTTTATTATCTTTCTTACAAGCTTCAACTAACCCTGTATTGTCATCCAAATCCTTCACCTAATTTTCCCCTTTATCATTAAGATAAAGACTTTACATAAACTTTCCACATCTCCCATTCTTCAAAGGCAAAACCAAGTTGTAATAATATCTATATGGAAGATAAGGATTATTATTTGATAAAATATTATTAGAAAATAAATAAATTATAGGTTTTTTAAGATAATGACAAGTGTTATATTCATTTTTAATTTTTTTAAATATACTTCAAGAACATTTATTATCATTTTAAGATTGCCTGTGATATTATTTTACATCAGTTTTAAAATCTATTTTAATAAATATAATTAACATCATATGTATGGTGATGTATGATTGTATGCTTGAATGCATCGTTAATGGATCAAATAATGACCTACATCATAAAATTTTAAAATTATTTTCTTTTAATTGTTCTTGATGATGGTCTTCGTCTGATTCACCGATTATTTATGCATCAAATATTCACTTCGAATAAAAGTAAAAATATTTTTAATTGAAAATTGAAATTTTGTAATACCTTCTAAAGTTATTTGGGGGTAAAAACAATGAATGAAGTATATTTCACGTGTCTCTTAATCTTTGCTCAAATGGGTACATTTGATGGATGCCAAGGAAGAATTGATTGCATGCGTGATCATATGATTTTGATTATATAAGAAAGGGGCAGGTTGCTCTATTTTTGTCATCATTCTTCAATCTTATTTTAACTAAACATATAAAAATCTATTTCATCCTTGTTTTATAAACTTCATTTTGGCTCTATGTGATGCCATTCATTAAATATTTTAGTTGAGTAAAAAGTTTATTTTTTTATAATTATCTTTTAAAAAATTAAGATATGGTTTATTTTAATGTATAAATCCATATAGAAACAATATATTCAATGCAAACTTTTTTATTTTTACAAGCTCTGTTAGTAGAATGATGCGTATTTAGAGTTTAGTTTTTTTTTAAAGACCGAGATCTAATCTCGTATAGACAATATTACTCGATCCTAGATCATCAAGAGAGAATAAAATTCTCTTAACCATTAAGTCCACTTCAAAAAAATTTAAATTTTAGATTATATTTAAATCAATGCATAAAAATCTAAAAGTGTAAAGTGAAATATATATTGTTTGATGCATGTGAACTTGTGATTGTATTGCTCAAATGTTTGGGCTTTATATATATATATATATATAAAAGTCTCCATAAACCAGCATCCTAATGCAAGAAATATTGATATTTTCAGATCAAAAAAATTATAATGCAAGAAATATTGAATAAGGGGCCATGCCATTAATATGAATTTAGAAAAATTAATGTTAAGCGCACTATATTTAATATAATTGACTTATAGGCTATAACACCCTTAGCTCGTATATATCTCGTAAAACGAGTTAAAGATATCGTTAAAGATATCACATCAATACAACTGACATTTGTTGAACTTAAATACTTCAAAAAAAAATTCATTTAATAATTTCATTTTTATCTTTAAAAGGTTTTTTCCTTAAACATATAAATTTATAAAATTTTATTTGATCATTGAAACTAATTCGATTTCAGTCAGTAATTAGGTAATTCGGTGTTGTTTCATATCCAAATACAACTGTCTAATACCACTTTATTTTAATCCATTAAATATATAACATTTATACTATTCACTCATAAATACGATTAATACTAAAATTAGACAAAACTAAAGAAAATAATTCTTAATTACTATTACAAACCCTTTTAAAATAAATCTGATAAAGCAACCCAACAGATATAATGTACATGCCACTAATAAGTCAAATTTAGGATGTCTTACTGATACTATCGTTATGTTTGATTTTCCATAAGATGTTGGCAAACTCCTCACTTCACGTCCACTACTTTATTCGAATCTACGCATGAAAATCATCACGCGCTAAGTAAAACTTAGTGAGGCATAAATATAGCTAAAACATAAAATCCATAAAATATAAACAATAAATTGAAAATTTAAATTAAAAAAACAATTAAAACTTCAAACCAGGCTAGTCAGACTGTTTTCCTTCTGAAAACCTTAAAATCATCATCTCATGATTTTATCAAAAATCATGTAAGTCATCATTAAATATCATAAATAACTTTTGTTCTTCTCATTCGAACATATTTCATAACTTTCTTTTCAATTCTATGTTCTTTTCTTTTATATATTATCATAACTTTCACACTTACTCTTATAGCACAATGTATATGTAAGAGAATACAAGGTACGTGAGTATAAGGTGCGCACTAGGCATAACACGGTGCCGAATCATAACTGAAACTGTGATATGATGCACTTCAGTGCAATCATAACCTGAGCACCATCGCTGTTGAACATTGGTACATGAATGTGCCAAAGCTGAACTGATAACTGATAATTGATAAGCACTCACTTAATGGCATGTCAAATGTTACTACGACTCTCAATGCAACATACAATGAGTTTATATTTATAATCATAAAATTATTTATTAATATACGTTAGATAACTGTAAAACATATGATAATTGTAAACATCTAATAATTGTAAATATCTTACAACTGAAAAATCATCTGATAACTGTAAATATTTAGAATACATCATCATAAATATCATACTTTGACAGTTCATACCCAAAATCATTCATAAACTTGATGAAGATAAAATATTATAGAAATATTCCATATTGAAAATTTATAAATTATACTGGAAAATAAAATGAGATTTACTTATCGCAAGTCATCCTCGATCAGAGTAACTAAATAAATAAACTAGACTCATTTGAACAATTTACTTATAAATCAAATATAAGCCTCACTAAACTTTAAAAATTTGCTTCCACTACACAATTTATTGAAATTTCATATTATGGCAGGTTGCACTATCTTCAAAGAAATATTATTCTATATTAATATATATATATATATATATTGAAAAATTATTTCGTTTACACCAATGAAAACTAAACTCAAATAAGATTCTAACCATATAAGACACTCTGTCTATTTCCACTTGTACAATTTATAGCGAATTTTCAAAGTTGACTGACAAAAATTGTTTTAAACAGGATATGATATCCTATTTTCTGACCTATCACTGATTAAAAATTCATATATTTTTTATACTTCTCGAAATAAGTATTCATTTGTTCTAAATGAAACTAGACTGATAGAAGAATCTAATGGTGTAAGATTCATCCTCTAATCATTTTTGTAGATTTTTTTTATGATTTTCTAAACTTACTGTTCAAAACATAATTTCTAGGTAGATTTTACCAACTAGTGTCATGACTTATTCACTAATTCTATTAGCTTACTAAATAAACATATAAACTTGAATCACACTTCACATAATACTAGGAGTCGCTTCTTAACGTAACTCCGACACTGGCTCATCGCAAGCCAATGTTTGGTTGAAACATATATACAAATGAAATGCACTCACATTTGCCTCGCTATCAAATCTTTTCCACAATAATCTTCTCGATCCTACAATTTTTCCTTCCCTTTCAAGATACTTGAATCACTAAATTTACTGTGGACTACCAATATCATATAATAACATAGAGTATTCAAATTATCCGTTAGTATTGAACTAACATAATCTAAACTTAAATATAAAATTTGATAAAAATAAATTTGATACTTAAATTGATATAAAACTAAATCGTACTTCCATCGTAATTTCAAACTTCTCAAAATAATTCTTAAATTCCATGAATATTTCGTTTCACTATTAACTCTTCAACTTTTACTAACTTCATAATCCAACCACTAATTATGATTTTTTTTTGGAATTCATATCAAGTTTACTATTTAATTAATAATGGCCCTTCACCATTATGATCATTTCACATTAACCATGTAAAATTTCCAGCACCTCAATAAAATATTTAAATCAACACTTAAATATTCAAAAGCTTGCCATTTCATCCTTAACTTTCTTAGACTTGTCAAATTCAACCACACAACTTGATAAACCTAGAATTAAATCTCAACTTAAGAATTAAACCCAAAAATCAGCGTATTAAATAAATTTCCAGCATTACAATAATTTACTCAAATGATACTTCCACATTTAATAAACTTAAAATCAAGTCCCCATAATATTGAGACTTTTCGAATTACACCCTCAAATTTTGTTCCAAACAACTTTCCAACTTAAATTTCCAGTATTTAAAACTATAAAAAACCAGCATTAACCCTTCAAATATTACATTCTTGCAATAATATCCCACAATTCTCAAAACTTGTATATTAACCCTTTCACTAACTCAGGGCTCCAAGTCACATATAACACTTTTAATATCAATTCTAGACCATAGGAAATTTTTCAATATTTTTCCCTAATTTTTCCCCAATGGTTGAATGTCACTATGATCATTCTATTCTATTCTTCAAATCTTTAAATGCTTTTTAAATCAATTCTACAAATCCATTTAAATCACCAAATTGAAATCATTCCACCAAAACAAATCAAATGCTTTAAATCATTCTATTGATTTTAAACATCAAATAACCATCCAATTCGCCAAAACTCTAATTAGGCCAACATGCTTTAAATCATTCTAATAATCTTTCATTAATTTTCCAACATCAAAAACATAATAATCTTTCATTAATTTTTCAAACTCCAAAAACCCTACATAAACCCTAACCTTCAATCTCAACATATAAGCATATTCACTATGAAATATTGGTACCAAATGATAGAGAATTTCATGTAGATTAATTCTCTAATTCATAATTTAGTCTAAAAATCAATCATGTAAGCTTAAAAATCAAAAATAAAATGTTTACCTTAGAGAAATGGTGGTTTCGGCCAAGCTTGAAGAAGGAGTTGATTTTGTGCTAATTTTCTTGATTAATCTAGTATTTATTAACCTTGATACATGACACTTTAATAATATAATTTAATTTAAATTCAATTAATGAGAAATCCCAAAAATATCATTAATGAAACTTGATAATTATCAAATGTCATTGCATTATCTTCCATTAAAATATTCTTAGTCAAAGATAAATCAACTCGACTTTGACTTTTCACTTTGGCCATGCAATTTTGAAAATTGCACTTTAGTCACTAAAATTTCATTGTTCGACCTAAACTGAAAAATTACACCAATTTTCTTTGATCTAAAATATGGAAATAATATTTCCAACCATTTTCTAACATCCTTCAATTTTTCATAAATTTCAGATTATCCGATTTCAATACCGAACTTTATTGTTTTATACCTTTTAACACAAATCCCGTATCGAAAATCTGATTCCCACAAAAATCATTGCTTTAGGCCAAATTGTTCATTTACAAGCTAAAATCTATAAATTTTCAAAATTATAATTTTGGTCTCTATACTTTTACAAAGTTTATACTTTAACCCTTAAACTTTCAAAACTTACATTTTAGTCACTAGTCAAATTTGGGCTATTACAAAGACATTCTTTTCAATACTTCTAAACCTCATTCTTTGATTTTTTTAATCTTAAATTTTCAACCCAAAATCTGGATATCTGACACTAATTGCATTTATTTATACTATTTATTGGATTTTTAATTGTTAATTTGAAATTATTTAATTAGAAATAATTAAAATAATTTTAATTTTAAGGATGATAAATAATATTTTTGAAATAATAAATATTGTTCACTCAAATACACATATATCAAAGATTAGTTATTATTTAATTATCTGACTAATTTTGATGTTAGTAGTTAAGTGATCATCAATTTAGTTGATAAAACGCAATATTATCCTTATTTATAAAGAGAATAGAATATTAATGTGAAGATGTTGTCTTTTCATATACAAAATTTTAAATAAAACTACCAATACTCAACGTTTGAGATTCAACTTATGACCAATAGATTTGATACACAAAACCTTTTATTCCTTACTTATTATAAGGGACGGAGATCCCTTATGCCCAAGGGAGCCGACCTTTAAAATTTATATATTTGATATAATTTTAATTTAATAGTATTTTGATTCATATAAAAATAATAAAATTTATTAAATATTTAATCAAGTAGGGGTCGAACTAAAGAATGATAAGTCTTGTTCTCAACTTTTTGATTTAATTACTATTTAGTCATTGTAAGTTTAAATATTAGATAAATTAGAAGTTATTTTTTGAGTTTTGAGTTTTGCGATTTTTTTTAATTTATGGTGAATACAAGGTAATATTTGTAAAAAGACTTTAAATTATTTGACAATGAACGCTCATACCCCTACACACGTGCTTGAACTCGGGACTTCAATGATAACAACAATCATTTAATCACTAAGGTCACTTAGTTCATGCTGAATTTCGAATTTAAATACCTAATAAGTGTTTATGTTTTTCTTAAATAGTATAATATTTTAGCATCTGCCAATATTTAATTATGGCTCCGTCTGTGTTTATAATCATTTAATAATTTAATAATAATAAATATATTTACATAAAATATTTTTAAATTACATTTATATATTATTTAATCTCTTCACTGGATTTAGTATCACCGATTAATCAATCACCAATTCTATATAAGTTGAATCGTTTTTATATAAAAATCTATACACCATTCATAATTAAATAAGTTATGAATTCTTAATTAAAATAGTTGAATATGATTTGTCACCTGAATCATAATTGCCACATATAATACAATTTTATTATCATATATAATAGTATATCTTAAAATATGTATTATATTTCTGCCCAAAAAAAGCCATTTTCATGTTATTAGCGAAAGAGCCATCAATCAATGTAATTGTAATATCAAAAACCCAAAATGATTAAATGGAACTAAATAAACTTTTTAGACTTTTAACCCAACCTCTCAATGAAAAACCAAAACCATTAATAGGACAGCATCAAACCTGTCTGCTTGTGGTTGACCATTTGCACCCCACGCGCTCACATTGAGGAGTGGAGCCGAAATTCCGGTGCTTCTCTTTGGCATCCTTTAAACTTTAGCTCCTCTCTCTCACTTGGAAACTGCAACTGCTGTTCTGCCATTCTCTCTTGTTACTGCCTTTTTCTCACCAAAAACTAGAAAGGGAAGGGGACGACTCACATTTTAAAAGAGGAAAAGCAAAAAAAAAAAAAGGAAAAGAAAAAGAAGTGATTTTTGAGGTTGGGTTTGTGATAAATACTGGGATTAGATACCCTTCTTCACTTTCCTCTTCTCTCTTCCATTTTGAAGGCATGTAAATTTTTCAAAGACTCAATTCTTTTCTTACGTTAGGTTAGTTTAATGGATTGTTAAAAGGAAAACGGGTTTTGGTTGTGGAGGATATAAAGGAAGAAAAGGAAATTTGTGGAGAATAATATGGTGTTCCTGTCCTGTGAAAAGGAAAGGTTTTGTTTTGAGCATTGTTTTTGAGGCTTGAAATATGAGGTGGGTTTGAGTTTTTAATTTCTGGTTTTGTTTTTGGGGTTTCAGAGTTATGGTTTTATGATGTGTAGGATGTTAGAAAGCAACCATTTGAAGATGTCTTGGGTTCATCATCAACATCACCATCATCTGCAAATCAAGCAAAAAGATGGTTACTTTCAATATCCACCCCCTCTTCTTCCATCTCCTTTAACTGCTACAGCTTTTCATAGAGATTCAAACCCTTCACCACCATCATCCTCTGGTACTAGAATCAGCCCTGCTGTTCTTTTCATTATAGTTATCTTGGCTGTTCTGTTTTTCATCTCTGGTCTCCTCCATCTGCTTGTTAGATTCCTTATAAAGCATCCATCTTCATCTACATCTTCTCAATCTAATACTAGATACCCTGAGATGTCCACCTCTGATGCTCTTCAAAGACAGCTCCAACAGCTGTTCCACCTCCATGATTCTGGTTTAGATCAAGCTTTCATTGATGCTTTACCTGTTTTCCATTACAAGGAAATAGTTGGTCCCAAGGAGCCCTTTGACTGTGCTGTTTGTTTATGCGAGTTTTCTGAGAAAGATAAGCTGAGATTGCTTCCTATGTGTAGCCATGCTTTTCATATAAACTGTATTGACACTTGGCTGTTGTCCAACTCAACATGCCCTCTCTGTAGAGGCACCCTTTTTGCGCCTGGGTTTTCAATGGAGAACCCAGTCTTTGATTTTGATGACATTAGGGAAGATGAAGGGTGTGGTGGCAATGATGAAAATGGGTACACCCCTTGTCAGAAAACAGTGGAAATGGAGGAAATTGTTGTTGACAAAGGGGTGTTGCCTGTTACGCTAGGAAAATTCAGAAGGCTAAGTGGTGAACCAGACGAGGCTGGTGGTGAAACCAGTAGCAGCAACTTAGATGCAAGGAGGTGTTTTTCAATGGGTTCATATCAGTATGTGCTTGGCAATTCAGATCTGAGGGTTACCCTCTCTATTGGTCGACACAGCGGCCAACACCAAGGAAGTGGTATTAAGTTATCTAGAGGCTCAGATCAGAATGGGAATTCGTCGGCCGAAAGAGATTCCGAAGAGAAAAAGATTAGTAGTATGAGTAAAGGGGAAAGCTTTTCGGTTTCCAAGATCTGGCTTTGGTCTAAGAAAGGCAAATTCTCAAGCTCTTCAGATGCTCAAATTGGTATGCCATCATCTCTTAACTCAGACCTCCCATGGCTGAAGAAATCACAAGAAGAATGAAAGGTTAACGTTATCCTACACAATTGATCAAATCGAACTTTATTGTGCTTTATCTTGTCTCTCATGTCACATGTTTTTGTTCTGAAATCTGAAACTTGAAAAATTACTCACCAATCACCATGCCATTTGCTTTGTTTGTAAAAATTGAATGGAATGAGAGGAATAGAATTAATGTTGGAAAAAAGGGTCATTTGTACTACTGAAGTTCATGTGTCGTATCCTGTAAAAGAAGATATTTCATACATATATTTTCCACGGTTTTGCACATCTCAGCAATCTAATATCATCTGATCCTTTTAGCATCATGACAGCTTTTTAGTTAAGCCACAGGTAAGTTCATGTGGAAGGTTATAGTCCAAGTATATTATTTGGTCTAAGGTAGTACTTGGCTTCTTATTAATGTTTGATGCGAGTATGTTATGTGCGATATATCTAGATATATATATCGAACGTAAGTCTAGTTCACCAATGTATTTAGGACAAGGACAACTGCAAATATCATAGATGTTACTGCAATCTTCTGTGTCAAATATTGAGGACTAAATTGAGTATTTTCACTTTCATGTCATAGATACAGTGTCTCATAAATTCTGGAAATCATAGTTCTGCACTAATATACATTAGGAAATATGATATAAAATACTAACGGATGTGTTAAAATTTAAATAATATATTATTAATGTATTAAAATTTCTACAAATATAATATTTTAAATATGATTAGATAAAAATATATGAATGACACTAATATCGTGGTTAGATCTAATTATCAATCAGATTATTTATCAAGTTTGAGGAAGTGCCTACACCTGGCTATAAATCCAAGAGTCAAAAGAGGAAGGAACAAAAAAGATGCTCTAAATTATATTTAATCTTTAGTGTGCATGTGCCTTTTGATTATCAAAACTAAAATTTATTTATTTTTGTCATTTATCATTAAAGAGTGTTTTTATTTGGATAATTATGCCATTAAATAATTAACAATCCTTTTGATAATTATTTCTTCAGTAAAATTATACTGAAAAAAATAAGAAAAATATGAAATGTTTACCAAGAAAATCAAACTTGAAATCTCTTTTTAGGGGTATAATGCATTACCATTATAATATCACTATATTAAGATCTGAAGCATTTAAATGATAATATTAATAATATCATATATTTACATTGATGGAGAAAAAATTAAATAATAAAATAGGTATAGTTTGAATTTGTTTTATATTAAGCCTTTTATTAATCAATATCTAGGGTATATTTTAGTTTAAACATGGTCTGCAACAATTCTTCGACAGAATATGCAGAAATTGCGTATGATGATACATACATAAATGTTTTAATTTATATTTAAACTATGATGTTATGTCATGTATATAAATATACATTTGCAGTATTTATGTTTTAAGATTCTTACATGAGTTGAAAGGAAGTGTCGAACAAAGACTGTTCAGAAATGAAGTATTGGTGGGGACCACCCATAAATCGTTGCCTGTCAGAAGCTTAGAATCATGTGAAGCTGTGACCCATCAGTAATCTCCTGAAAAATCAATGCATTTGAATGAGGTATATTTTGTCTCTTCTTCTATGACCGCCTTGCAATTACAAAGGACATTGCATTCCATGATTATAATCTACATATAATGTTGGATTATTCAATGAACAAACACATATACGAATAATTTAAATATTTTGTTATTCAATTATAATATATTTAATATTAATATATGTGTTTAATTTTGCTTACAATGTAATTAGTAATGCCTAAATTTTATTATTTAACATCCAAAACTAACCAAAATGTTTGTTTAGTTAAATTTGTTTAGATTTATTTATTTGTTTATTATTTTTTGAATATATTCATTTATATTTTTATAGATATTTGTTAACAAATTAATTTAATTAAAAACACAAAACACACCTAGTTTTAAACAAAGTGAATTTAAGTGTAAATTTAAACTTTTATTAAACATAAACCGAATACAAATCAAAATAAATAAACAAAAATAAATACGATTAATTTTATGATAGAGTTGTCTCTAATCAATTTCCTATTACCCCTTAAAATAACATTTAGCAATAATCACCGTACTTGTATATATATATTACTAAAAAATGACTCTAATTAGTGCAAAATCACGATCATTTCTCTTTATATGTATTGAGAGGATATATATATTTAATTAGTACAAAATCACGCTCTTTTTTTTTTTGATAAATGTTTGATTTTATTACCCAAATAGCTAGCAGTGAGCTGCTACAAAATACAATCAATGTTTGAATTTACAAAGATCATCATAAATGAAAAAAGCAAATGAAGATACAATTAAATAATATCCCATTGGTTACAAAGGGAAACATTAGCAGTGTGTAAGCGATTAATATGCCTTCCCCTTAGTTTGAATCCAGCAATTTCCTTGATTAAACTGAACATAGCTTCAACTGTTGATGCTTGAGATTGAAAAATCACACTCTTATATATATATATGGGCTAAAATTAACTTATATAATGTGAAACTTTTTTAGTTATATACATAGGCTAAGATTTACTTATGTAATACATTTTTTTTAATTTTACATAGATTTAGGACTGTTGGATGAGTAGAAATTTATTGTCGAGATTAATTCCTTATTTGTTTCAATGAATATCTTTTTATTTTCTAATGTTAATCTCAACATTTTATTTTCACGAATCTAACTATCGTAAATTCATGTATGATAAGAAACGCTTGAATCAATGGCCTTCGGACAATGTTAAAGCCTAAAGGGATAGCTAATTAGCAAACCTAAGAAACAAAGTGATACACTACGATACAATACAAACCCACTGCCACTCGTTTCAACGTAAAAAATCAATATATACATAAAGGATGAATATTCAATTGATCCGAGTCGAACAAAAATATTTTAAATTAATTGAGTTGAAATTCATTTTGAGTAAAAAATGAAACTATAGCAAATTCAACTTGAGTTCAAATTCATTTTTTATATATAGTTTAAGCCTAACTCAACTTATTATACTCTGAGTTCATGTCAGTTTAATCGTATACTATAGGGAATCAATCTACCATCCTTTTCAAAAATATCAAATGCAAAATAAAATACACAGAGAATGCACTTCATCCAAATATGTGATCCAAAACCAAAGTATTTAAACATTGAGAAATGCGAAATTAAAATGTTAAAGAAGATAGTGAAACGGGTGTTTGAACTTTCAATTTTGATAAATATGATGAATTTACAGTTCATCGAAGGTATAAATTTGTTGTTATATGATTCGATCTATTTTATGACTAGCCAAACACATAAAATTCTCGTCTCCCTTGTTCATGTAATTGTTTTTTTTTTCCTTCATAAAACAATTAATAATTCCCCTTTTTGTCGAAATCCATGATGGATTTAGCTGAGACAGTTGATGAGGCGTACCTGGAATAGAAGTTCCGGTTGAAAAAATCCTCATCGACTCCGTCATCAAAATTAAGGGAGTAGCTCTGATAATCGTAATGGAATTTCCCCCTGTCACCGTTGCCGTTTTTATTCTTGATGAACCGCCGTACAAATGAATTCAATTTCGATCTCGCCACCAACTCCGACCATTGCCTAACCTTCTTCCACCCTCGGATCCACCGCGACTCTTTATGACTTGTATTCTGTGAGGCAGCAGAGCTGCTATCATCGGTCGCGATTCGTTGCCACCAGTTTGATTTGACGGTGGAGCCAGATGGCATACAACAACAACAACAGAAGCCTCGGTTGGAGAACTTGAGTTCGTTGATGTTGTCTTCACCGACGCCGGACATCGCCTCCTCCGTCGTATCAAGTGGCGGCATTTTCCGGGGGAAGTGAAGAGACGATCAGAGAATTCCGGTTACGATTAACAGCAAAAATGGGAAAAAAGTTAAAAAAAATTCTTCCCAAGAGAGAAATATAGACATTTTAACGGAAACAGTGGGAAGTTTGTAACAGCTTCCTAAAGGGTAAACTGTATAGATGGTCACTAAATTTTCAAATCATTTATTTGGGTCACAACAATTTCGACTTGAGTTTGGAAAAGAATTTTTTTATTAAAATTTTGTTTTGTTGCATAGAATTTTAAAAGTTTGTCCATTCTTAAAATTTTATAAGTTTGTCCTCCTAACTGTTTTCGTCCCTAGAAATATATTTTTAGATCAAGTATCCAACATTATAATTTTAGAATTCAAATATCCAACATTATATAATACCAAAATCAAAGAAAAAAATGAACAAAAAAGTAAAAAAAAAACTTTTAGATCAAACAAAAAACATATTTTACATCCTTTTATGTGAAACAAACATGGAAACTAACAACATATGTAAAAAACTAAATAATAATTAAAAAAAAAAAACTGAAAAACCTTCATCATCCATAGTCTTGCATGTTTCCCATGGCCATGTTCATAGCATTCATATGAACTTTGTGTATCTTTGTTTTACTTTCATTTGATTATAATAAAAGCCAATAGACCAAATGGTCAATAGCCATGGGAGTAACCCATATAATTCAAACGCGGTCGAAGATTGTGATGACCGTAACTGGGATCCCCATAGTCTACTGCCTTTATCACCATGGCTTCGCGCCTTCCATCCTGTTCTTGAACTGCCCCGAAAACAATCTCGTTTGTCTCGCTGTTCTTCTCGTAGTATGTTTGCGGGTTTGATGAATAATGCTTCTGCAGACGCTGCTGTTGCTGATGGTGATGCATCAGCATTTGCTGCTGTTGCTGATAATCAGCATCCCATCCGTTACAGTGAGGCCTGCTTTGCTTGATATGGTGTTTCCTTTCCAGTTCTTTTGCTGGAAATGGGTAACTTCTCTTCGGGTCGGCGTTTGTGTATCTAAGGATGGTGGTTCATCTTCATCGGGGATGACAAAGCTCTCTCGTGTTGGCCATCCTCTTGAGTGCATGGATGATTGCTGATACGGATGTTGAAACTGATAATACTGAGGCTTCCGTCTGAATCCAGAAAATAATCCCCCGAAGATTTCAGCCACGGAGGAACTGGAGTTGAGACGAGCCTACTGATTGAACTGAAGAAGCCCACTTCTGTTTTTTCAGGTTCATTTTCGGGAGGAATTAAAGGAGGCCTGACTGGTTTAGGAGGCCTCTGATACGGCGCCATGGGTGCCATCGTTGCTCCTCTTTTTATTAGAGTTTTCGAGTCCTACAAAGATTGGAACTTGTTAGTCATATCACTTGGAATCCAGCATGTTGGAAACTTATGAACAAAGCATGTATCAGAAAAGTCCTAACATTTCATATCAACACTTGAAAGAAGAGAAAAAAAGGCACTATAATCCGAGAAAGGAGAGATTTTGAAAATCTACGACATTCGATCCGTTTAATAAAACATCAGGTCACTTACACCATGGGAAGAGAACATTGCTTGTACCCTACGCTGTAGCAAGGCGAGCATGTAACCGAAGAAGGCAGTGGCAACAAGCACTGCTATACCTACAATGATCATCCCAGATCTTACAAGATTTTGATGATCTCAAAGGGCAACGGAAAGAGAGTAGCTTGAAAGAGACATACCTGAATGAAAACTGCCATCATACTGATACGAACAATCATCATCATTTAGTTGGATCTCGCGAATTGCCTGGTTTCCTCTATCTACAACCAAAAGAGAGCAGGTACTTCCAATGTAAACCACGTCGAAATCATTTGAAAATTTTGCATCTTCACTTGGACCATCAACATGGCCTCCTCCGCGGCTCCATTTTCCTCCTCCAGCAATAGTTGTAACCCCTACATAAATATATAAAACAATTTCAGCTAAGAGGTTATGTTAGAATGACATTTTATTTAGTGGAATTCAAACCTACAAAACTTATAGAGCAGGGTAGCCGAACTTTAATTATCTGAAATTCCTTGACCATGACTAAATCACCTGATTTACTGATCTTTCTGATAGCCATGTTCATTGTGTCAGCAATGTATATATTTCCACTATCATCCACCGTTAGCCCTTTTGGATGATTCATTCTAGCTTCTCGTGGTTTACCATCTACATGCCCCGAATACCCTTCATATGATCCAGCAAGCAACTTAGGTCTGCCATCTGTAGTTTTGCATACAATATCAGCAAACGGAATATATCTGTACATAGTATGAATATTAACCGAACACCAAGAAATGAACAAGATAAGGTTGAAGAAATCAAAGAAAAATTAAATTCAGAAAGAGAATCCATCCATTTAATAGTCTAAGAACACAAAGAAAAGTCTATACGCTTCACCATCTTTCATAAACTTTAAAAGATTCCAAGAATTAAAACTCCAAAGTGAACTCGAACTACTCACTGTTCAAATCAACAAAGTACTTGTGCTTCATAAAGAAGCTCAAAGGTGTCCAAATATTAGTCAAATGTTGTTTAAAAAGTGAAAGTGCATTCACATAAGGCTTAGAAAGATAAAAGACTGGAAACATGTGTAAATTAGAAGTTTTAAGTGTTCTATAGACAATTGTCAGCTTTGAATAATAAAAAAAGCAAAAAGAGAAGTCTAAATCTAGAAATAGATCTAACATATATGTTACTCGTACTCAATTGTATCACACGCGGATATATGTCGGATACGAATTCTTCAAGAAAACAAAGAGTCCGAGCGACATAAGATGTAACTGTCCGTCCTAAAGTAGAGCCTTCTCCTCAACAAAAGTACATCAAACTCATTCACAACCTTGATTAAGTAATAAGTTAAGAATCTATGGACAACTTACAAGAAAAGAGCCCAAATTAAGTGCCTCATAGAACACAAAATTAATCAACAGAGCCAATTGTTCAATCTTAATCAAACAAATTTGAATGTGAGGTTTGGCAATGCACACAAATCAAAAACCCCAGAAGAAAATATTCTTCAAGGATTAACTTACACCTAGACAATGGCATGGAAATCTTGTAAATGTTACTATTTTCAGCATCCAACACCAAGAGGTCTCCATTGGGGGAAACTTCAACAGAGAATGGTTCAATCCCAAGCTTGCTTCCATCAAAAACTGTTTCCACAGTGTATCCACCTTCAAATTTCATCATGGAACGGCTTGAAACTGCTGAAGAAACAAACCCCAATAATCCCATTAGCTAACAAAAAATAATCTTTACATTACATAAAAGAGAGAATAAAAATCCCAAAAGGCAGAGGAAATAGGATAAATGATTGGGAATTTGAAGTGAAGTTACCAGCTTTGGGTTCTGATTTTAGTGACAATAGCCATTTAACAAGAACAGACACCACATTTGAGACAACTGAAGTTACAATTTCTGCCGAAAAAACACATAAGATAAAATGCAAAGCAAAATTTAAAACAAAAACAGACTGAAAGAAATGGTGAAACCTTTTCATCATACTTACTTGCAGGTGGGGTGGCAGAAACAGAAGAAAACCCATTAAAGATAACCAAGAAAACAAGGGTAAAAATAACCCATTTCCTCACCATTGCTCAAGTTTCTCACTTTAAGATGGAAAACAAAGGAGAAAATGTGTTCAAGCATCGAAGATTTAAGCTACGTTTAAAAACACAAATGTGGGTTTATATATATATTGAGGAGACCCCACAAAAATATCGCTTTGCTTACTTACTAATCGGTAGTAGCCTTTTTGAAGAGACAAAGATGGGAAGGGTTTAAATACCAAAAAGAAGGGAACATTGTTCAATAAAAATAAGAAAAGGCAACCTTAGACCATATAATGAATTGGAGTTCAATCAAAGAATCATATTTTCTGCTTTTTTCTCAAACTTGTTCTTTTCGCATTTAATGGACATTTTCTTCTTAATTTTTATAGTTTTCTTATTTCATTGTTTGTTTGCATGGGTGGATAATTGAGCCGACTCAGTGTTTCTCAAATAGGTGATTTTTCTATATATCATCGTTGAACATTATATTTCTCGATCAGGCATCGTCAGACTATATTTCCCTATCTAACACCTTTTGTAGAAAGGCGCGACCCCTGTAACGCTTTACGTTGATTTGACGTCACGTGTGTAAGGCACGCCCCCTGCAGTGCATCTTATGCTGACATGGTATACACGTGTGTAAAGCACGGCCCCGAGGGCGTGCCTTAGGCCACTTAGGAGTATAGCACAGGGCAGGGGCCGCTCCTTACTTTAACACAATTATTAGGCGCGGAACAGGGGCTGCGCCTTAGCTTTATCTGATATAATTATGTAAGATGCGGTGCATGTACCGCGTCTTGTAGCTTTTCTCAGCTATAAATATCGTTTCTCTGAGGTAACTCCTCACATCTCCTTTCGATTAGAAAAAAATTAATACAACAATCCAACAATCTTCTCATATTTAATTCAGAAGTTCGTACGAGTTTTCGTTATAAGGTAATTTTGTGATAAATTTTTTTATTATACTTATTGTTTATTATGATTATTTGAAAAATATTATACTAATTGTTGTCAATTAATTTCTGTGTTTGTAAAATTAGAAAGCTGGAATATACGTCGAAATAGTTTTGCGGTACATGTAATAATATAAAATTATATTATTTAAATTATTTATGTTTATGTGTAAAAATTTATTGTGTTATATTTTCGTTCATATATTATTTATTTAATCAACATTGTTTCAGTTTTTTTTTTTTGCAGATATAATATTGCCACATTTTTAAGCTCAAAGAATGGCGCGACTTTTAGCTATTGTTTATTATGATGGAGAAATTCGAGAAGATGAAACCGGCGTTGTTTTCGTATCAAATGAGCGTGTTAAAATATCATTGAAGAGAAACGTAACTCTTGAGGAGCTGATAACGAAGATTTCAAGGAAGATTCATGTTGGAAGTAGAAGAAGAATGTCGTCG